AGGCTATCATTTGGGTTCTTTGTGGAACAAAACTATATAGGTGCACGTGAAAAACTAAGACCAGCAACTGAACAAGACACAGTGGTTGATATTCTGAGATCTGGTGAGATTTTGTCGAAACCTCGTACTCAACTTCTTTCACGACTGAAGAATTTCACAGATGTTTCAAAAGAGCCTTTTTCTCCAGATCATCCTGAAAACCAATCAGAGGAGACTGAGCGGAAGAAAGCTCGACTGGACACTGTGTCAGCTCTGCGTGCCAGGTGGGAACAATTGGTGTCGATTAACCAGAACCGGAGGCAGGAAGGACTTCCTCCATTGATGCAGCTTCCAGCCCAAGTGTTGGAACAAAGTCCAATGATGTATACTTTTGAAGATTCTGATCCACAACATGTTGAATGTTCACCCGGAGTTCAAACAGCAGAAAACACAGAGAGGAACATTCATCTTTTGGATCAAGAGACGCAGACACTGGTTTTGGAGAGAATCCACTTGCTGGAAGAGGAAGTCAAGATGAAGCAAGAGACAGTGCAGCTTCATGAAATGATCACTCAGGAACGCGAAGATGAAGCTCATTTCCTGTCCTTCATCCAGGACGACTTCCAAAGACCCGAGAAGGACCGTCAATGGGTCTACCAGATTGAGTTCGACGTTTCGGAAGAGATTGCTGATGCTAATCCGTTTTTGTACGTGAAGCGAGTCTTGGAAGGGAACAAACACGTAGAGATTACCTTACCTACAAGCAACTGTCTCCAGAGCATGTTCCTTTGTTTGATGAAGCAAAAGCCAGAGAGGTCGCTGAAGTTTTGGGTTCAATGGCACTTCGCGCAGTACAATCTAAAGAAGAACTGAAAGAAGCTTTGAGCCATCCTGAACGCCATATTCCCATGAGATGGGTCCTTACTTGGAAACCGATTCAACCTCCTGAACCTCCGCCTCCAGGTAAACCAACTTCAGTGATGCCAGACGGTAGTTGTAAAGCTAAAGCTCGGGTAGTACTTCTAGGGTTCAAACATCCAGACCTTGTGAAGAGAAATCCAATCACAGCTCAGCCAGAACTTAAGACAGCAGCACCGACCATTTCAGGCACAGGGAGAAACCTTCTCCTTCAGTGTTTTGCTTTCGATGAACATGAGATTGAATCTGCCGATGCTAAATCTGCATTTTTGCAAGCTGCTAATTTGTGAAGAAGATAGGCGCTTGTGGACGAAGGCAGTTCCAGAGATTGCAGTGTCTCTTGGACTGAAACCAGGGCAGTTGATGCGTGTCTTGGGTACCATTTATGGCCTTACCAATGCTCCTCGCATCTTTTGGCAAGATGTAGATTTTGAATTTCAAAGCTCGGTGGGATTCCTCATCCCATGGATCGATGCATTTGGGTTTTTCGTGATCCCGAAGGGTCGGTTTTTGCCAGAATTGGTAGTCAAGTAGATGACTTTCTAATGGCAGGAAATCCCAAGAATAAGTTTTGGATTGCTTTGAGAGAAAAAAAAAGGGTATGTATCAATGGAGTCCTTGGAAAAAGGGTGATTTTGTATATGCCGGATGCCGAATTCGCCAATTCACTTCCTACTCCATCCATGTCTCGCAAGAAGATTTTTGCAACTCTTTGTCTCCTGTGGCAATTCAATCAGACGGCTCTCGCAGTGACAAAGATCCGATGACTCCATCGGAAACTTTGCAAGCTGGAGCGCTTTTGGTGAAAGCGCAGTGGAGATCTTTGCAGAGTGCTCCTCAATACGCTGCTCGAATTGGCATAGCTTCTTCCACGTTGTCGGATGGGAAACTGGCAAACTTGAGAGAAGCAAACTCTATCATTCGGGATATGCGTAAGACTGCAAAGGAAGATCAGGTTTTTCACAATTTCAATTTTAGAAGAACGAACAGATTGAAATACACAGATCTTGTTTTCTTGCATTGGGGTGATGCTGGACACAACAACAGACCGACAGGTAGTTCGACCGGCGGTTTGTTTCTGGAATTTCTTCACCGGAAGTCTTGAAGGGCAATGAAACGCCTGTAACCTTGATTGATTGGAGATCCTGGAAACTCCGTCGTCCTGCCAGAGGGACGAACTGCTCAGAAGCTCAAGGAATTGCAGAAGCTAAAGACAAAGGCTGGAGAACTAGACTTATGTTTGCAATCCTGCACGGACACACCCTTCGACTTGGGAAAGCAGACACTCTGACTTCCATGTTCACGAGTCTATTAATTATGAACTCTCGCGGGTGCTATGACCTACTGGTGAGCAATGAATCTCTTGCCATGTCAATGTCAGACTCTAAGGCTGCAATAGACCTACTTCATGTCCAGAAAGGAATACAAGATGATATAAACTGTTTTGCTACGTGGGTGCCTTCAGACCTCAACCTAGCTAATTCTCTCACAAAAGCTTCCATAGATGCATATAGAGAGATGAAACTGTTTTATACCAACAAAAGCTGGATAGTGAAGTTCAACGAAAAGTTCATTTCTACTCGTAAGATGCAACGACTACGAACACAAAAGAAGAAAGAAGAACAGAAACAAGGCCTGCATTTTGCAGATATGCCAGAAGTTTAGATAGATAATGCCTAGACCAACCTTTTTGCCACAATTTATCTAAGATAAACGATCGCAGATATCTTCTCTTCAACTCCAAAAGCACTAAACCTGTACTAAGTTGAAAGGAGTTTCATTAGTAATTCATGAATTATATAAAGCCCGATTTTACCAACCTTAGTACATCTCAGTGGTCTACGAACCCACAGGTACGGGATATTCATATTCTCGTCCGCAAAAGCGCCTCTTGAGCTCAGACTTAGACGGAGTGTTAAAAGGGTGGCACGGACCGCCTAAGCCATGTTTTAATCCTCCTTATTTGATTTTGTCTTTCCGCTTTCGCACGACGTTCGCAATCTACGCAACTTGGCGGTTTAACACAAATTTTTAATTCCGAGCAATAATCCCTTTGTTTCGCAAAGTAAATTCAAAATAATCCTTATCAGCCTATTTTTCATAATTATTCGATCCAAACGCATCAATATTTATTTCGCAAAACAAACTCAAAATATCCGCTAAAAAACTACCTTTCGTAATATTCGTATTTCAAGACTTTTTGTTATATGTAACCGAATTATTATTAAAGCATAATTTTTTAAAAATCAAGCCTCGTTCAAGTTCATCAAAAAAAAATCAATCATATCAATATTTTTCATTTCAAAAATAATCCTTATATCAATTATAAATCCTAACTTTAAAAAAAAATAATTAATATATTAATGTGCATAATTCCGAAATATAAAACAAATATTTTTCATTTCAAAATATATACAAAATAAATCCATTTAAACAATTCAAAATTACCAATAATATAAGCGAAATTCAATTAACGACCAATATTCAAAAAAATATAATATCAAAAATAAAAAGAAATAATTATTATATAATTTAAAATTAACATAACACTTAATAATTATCAATTTCATAAAATAATTAAAAAATACATTATATATCCAAACATATTATATTATTATAGCATTAATAATTTATAGCTTATATTGTAAAAAAACAATATATATAATATATAATAAGAAACCAAGATAAATTACGAGTTTCGGCATTTTTAACACGAGCTATAAACCTTTATCCCAACAAAAGAAATATATATCAATATCACCAACAAATTTAATGTCAATAAACACTTTTTAACATCCACCTCATTGTTAGAAAACACAAAGGAAAGAAAAGAGAACCAAGAAAAAAGAAACGAGAAAAACACACAAAAAGGAGAAGTAACAAGATGAAGAAGCAGAAGCAGAAGCAGAAGCAGAAGCAGAAGGAGAAGGAGAAGAAGAAGAAGAAGAAGGTGAAGAAGAAGGTGAAGAAGAAGATGAAGAAGGAGGCGGCAGAACAAGAAGGTAAAACAAAAAGAAGGTAGAACAAGAAGAAGGTGGAAAGAACAAGGTGGAACAAGAAGGTAGAACAAAAAAAGAAGCAAGATCAACAGGCAGGAAAAAAGCAGAAAGAAGAACCAAGTACTTTTTTGGTGCCATTACTTTCTATCAAGGCGATACGAACCACCTCTCCAATCTTTCGCATGTTTTTTCACATGTGATCAAACCCGCAACGTGCGCTGTCACTACATGCGCGCTATTACAGCCACCTGATGCAGCCAACCTAATAATGAGGCCGAAGTTCTCTGCAAAGTTGAAGTCTATTTCGGTTAAAAGAAACAGGTGTCTGAAGAGCCCGATGGCACCAAAAGCCAACGCAGAATCTTCTTTCCGGGGTCAGCCGCATCCAACAACAGCCCAAAAACACCACAAAGTAAACTAAAACACCACAAAGTAAACTTGTGATTTTCAAATCAACACGAAGAATTCGCGCTTTTCAGGTGGGTTTTCGCATCAATGAGCGACTTCAATTTGGCAATGCCTTTTTTTGGAAGCCTTTTGCTTCCCCTTTCATTTTCCCTTCTCCAAACTCTTAAGCATCTGATTCTCGACAGGCTGCCAAAAACGACAAGCGGGGATAAAGTGTAGTTGGTTGGGGGCCTCTCACAAGGCCATGAGACAAGAAACAAAAGCCAAAAGCCGGAAATACAAAAAGCAAACAACATTTCGCAAGTCAATACTTCCTCTAAGAAGCTTCATTTTGAAACATAACACCCCTCGCATTTTTTGTGAACACATTTGCGTGCTGGTGCGTGGCTCCTTGTCTGGCTTGTAGACTTGGCTGATACTTTGTGGCGACACTTGGCTGGTTTTTGTTTACGGTTTCCATGCGGTTTCTTTCTCCCGGTGCTTTGCTCGCCTTATTCCTTGTAGCCTTATAGCAATGACCTCCAACCCAATTGCGATGGCCTCCAACCAAATAGCGATGGCCTTGTTTTCAGTCTTCTTGAACGTCTGCCATAATTCACTCCGCCTGGGCTCTCCAACCTGACCGCAATAGCTTCAATTGCAGCCGGGTGAATGGATTGCTTTAGCTTCGCGTGGCACATGTGCTTGCCAAGCAACAACTTTGTCCATCAACGAAAGTGTTGACCTGGGTTGCAATGCTTGCCAATCCTAGCAAAACCTTGTCAAATGAATTGCACTCAAATGACACAAGGGATCTTGAATCGCCTACCTGTCTTGACATTACAGCTTGGCCTTGATTTGGAACCGGGCAGCAAACTTGGGCCTGCGTTTTGCCCGATCATGTTTTTCAATGGCCTCCACGAAACCTCTCACCGTCCTTCATACTCAAATGGCTCAAATGGTGCAACCTACTAGCGATGGCCTCCAAGTTAAGTTTCTAAAGATCTAGGAACCAAATCATTAATGCGAGCGCGCTATCCTGCGTCCAGTAGGCAGTAGCTCAAGCAGCTAGCAGTCTCTACTTGATCAAGTGGGGGGGGAGGAGCGAGCGGGGCCAAAAAGGCTCTTTCTCTCTCTCTCTCTCTCTGGGCCCCGAACTCTTGGGGCTCGATGCCGATGGAAATCATCGCAAGGAAGTACCGCTCAGCGAACTGGCAAGTGACGACCCCATTTCTGACACATTGCTCTGCCTCGTCCACATGATCCTTTTGGTCAATTCTGGCACGTTCAAGAGATTTGGGCGCCGAACCGTCTTAGTCTTGGAATCAAGGCTGTGCTGGCAAACCTGGGAGAGCCCGTGTTGCAATTGAATGCTGAAAGCAGACCCAAAACTGCAACAGGCAAAGAAAAGAATCACAGCTGTTCTGAAGAAGGAGCAACATAGAAAGAAATCTTCAAGATGGGAAGGAATCGAAGAATGTTTGACAAGGCATCCCCAAAAGCTCTAGCGGATGGAAGATATTCTTTCCGATGACTTTTGCTCCATTAACAAACCCAAATCCATGCCAGGATCGAGAAGGCTCGCGCAAGGGTTTTGTAGCAAATACATTATAGAAAAAGCTCAGAGAATGCATTCAAATCAGCAACCTGTTGATGCAAGCGCAAGTAAAGTTGAGGCTTTCTAGTGTTGCTGAGCTTTCCCATTTTCTACGAAGATCAGTGGCAGTTTTTAGATTTTTCTGCTTGCAAAGGAGGAGCAAGCAAAGCAAAGCAATGAAGCTTTGTTGTTACAGCTTAGAACCAGTTAAATACAAAGAAGGCCAGGGCCCTCTAAGCAGCCCTTACATTCTGTTTATAACCAAGAATTGGGCTTTCTTTATTTGTCATTTTGTTTCTGATTTTCTTCCAAAGTTTTGTCCTTTCTCAATATCTTGCGTTGGTGGAACGCTTCACAACAAACGACCCGCAAAAAGCAAATTGTGGTGCCCTAATGAAAGCACCTGAGGTCCCCACTTTGAAGATTAAGCTGTACGTGTCTTCCTTCGGCTGGATGCCTGCAAGAAACATACATCGCCAGAGTGGAAGCCATCGCAACTCTGTTTCCGTTGCGGCAGTCTTCTCTGCAGTGGGCCAGACTGGGTCCCAAATATTCGCCTTTGTCCGCCATCTCGTCGACAAGCTCAGCTATATGCCTCGAAACATGTAAACGAACATGTGCAAAAACACATCTTCCAAGAAACTGTCGCAAAAAGCCGAAGACATGGAACACGTTTCACCTGTAGTAACAAGAAACATTTTCAGGTCATTGAAACTTCATAGTAAAGCCTTCTAGCAAGGTGGAGGCCATGGCTAGTAACATAAAGCTTTCTAGCAACTAGAAGCTACCAGGTGGAGGCCATCCCTACTGGTAACCATAAAAGACTTTCTAGTAACTAGAAGCTTCTCGGTGGAGGCCATCGCTATTAGGTCGGAGGCCATCGCTGCTAGTAACCATAGAAGGCTTTCTAGTAACTAGAAGCTTCTCGGTGGAGGCCATCGATATTAAGTTGGAGGCCCTCGCTACTAGTGACAATGAAGCTTTCTAGCAACTAGAAGCTACCAGGTGGAGGCCATAGCTATTAGGTTGGAAGCCATCACTATTAGGTTGGAGGCCATCGCTACTGGTAACCATAAAAGACTACTAACTAGAAACTACTAGGTGGAGGCCATCGCTATTAGAATAGTAACCGTAAAGAGCTTTCTAGTAACTAGAAACTACTAGGTGGTGGCCATCGCTACTAGTAACAATAAAGCTTTCCAGTAACTAGAAGCTTCCTGGGGAATCTTTTTCTGTGGCAAAAGCCAAAAACATATGACTTTATATATTTTTTGCATCCCAAGTTACTCAAGGTCACCCGTCTCAGCGGCCAATTGCATGGCCACGTGGAAGTCCTCCCTGGCAAACAAATCGGAAGCCCATAGGCGGGCAGGCTGAGCATCCTTCTTATCCTTCAGCCTTCTTCCGTTGACGCTGTTAGCTTGGGCCTTGAACGCATCAAAGCCTTTTGTTGAAAACACCATTGCAAGCTATAGGACATCAACCGTTAAAACTCCCCACTCTGGGTCGCTGAAAATTTACTTGACAAACACATCGTAGGCCGCCCTGCAGGAACAACTGCCAATGGCTTTCTGAACTTCCAACAGGCATTTCCTAATAGAATCACCAAACCAACATGGTCAAGTGCGAGGGCTTCTTCACGGAGGTTCCCGCGGCGTCAGGCGGGGGGAGCTTCCTTGAAGAGGCGTGAACTGTCCGGCGTCTAGTTACTAGAAACTAACTTGTAGCTCGTATGATAGCTAAAGTATGGGCACCTACTTAATTAAGTGGGCATGGGGGAGTGGGCCTTGGTGAACGAAGCTTGCATTGGAGTCAGGTGAAACGTGGAAAAAACAGTCTATTAAAACAACATGAATCTGTCTAATTATTTGTTGTTTTCAGTTCTTTCTTCGCCAAGCGTTGCTGGAGATTCTTGGTTACTAATAGCTACTAACTGGTAGTCTATACTTCACCTCCTTCCTAAAGAGAACATCTATGCCTTGCTTTGTTTGGCGCTCTTCGACCGTGGAAGGCCTCTTTCCGATCAGCGACTTCGACACGGCTGCGATGCTGCGACCAGGCCACTTCGACTTCGAGGACGACGGCGAGTCGAGGACCTGAGCAGGATGAGATGGGACGAGCTCCGGTCTGGAGGCAATCATCGCTCTTAGGAGCAAGGACGGTACTAGGAGCAAAGGGCATCGCTACTAGGAGCAAGAAGCTATTAGGGGCCCCTGGCCTTACTACTAGGAGCAAGTGGCTATCACGAAATTAGAACTAAATTAAATTAGAATTAAATTAAATCAGAGTTAGATTAGAATTACTGTAAATTAAATTGGAATATAGATTAATTAGAATTAAATTGAATTAGAATTAAACTAACATCGAATTAAATTAGAATTTGAAAACAATAAATTAGAATAGAAGTAAACTAAATTGGAACTAAATTAGAATTAAGTTAGATTTAAATAACAGTAGAATTAAACTAAATTAGAATTAAACTAGAATTAATTTGGAATTATATTAAACTATAATGAAATTAGAATGACATTAAATTAGAATTAAATACATTAGAATTAAATTAGAATTAATTAAACTAGAATTAAATTAGAATGAATTTAGATTAGAATTAAATTACATTAGAATTAAATTGGCATTAAGTTAAATTAGAATTAGATTAAATTAAAACTAAATTAGAATTACATTAAATTAGAATTAAATTGGAATTAGAATTAAAATAGATATAGTTAAATTAGAATTAAAATAATTTGGAGGCGATCATCGCTCTTAGGTAGGAGGCCATCATCGCTCTTAGGTAGGAGGC